CCAAGAAAGCAACAGATGATGGCTTAAGTACATGAGTCCCTGCCACCCATGTGGAAGACCCAGGTGGAGATCCTGGCTCCTGGCTTCAACCTGAGCCCCAGCTGGCTATTTAAGTAGTGAACAAAGGACGCAAGATTCTCTCTCTCTCTCTCTCTCTCTCTCTCCTTTCAAATAAATAAAGCTTAAAAAAAAAAAAACAGTGTGAACTCTTTCCCAGTGGTGCACAAATCAGTAGACACATTGAGTCGAGAAGAATTTCAGCCTGCTCCTTGAGGGAACAGGGAAGAACCCACATCATGCGTGAAAAAAACCACGTAATGCCTGCCTCCTGTCGGTCTCATGGCTCCACACCTTTCATGACCCTACCAGAAAAACAGAAACTTCCCTGTATTTGGAACAGAGGAAATTTATATCAGGGAGTCTGGTTACCCAGCGGAAGAGGGGCTGAGAAGTCCGCAGGGGACAGTGAGACTGCCCCTGAGGTTAAAGACACAGAGGGGCAGGGGCTCGAACCACCGGCATCACCACTGCATGGCTGAAGCCAGAGGAGCCCCAGCTGCTTCCAGAGACGCTGCCCAAGGCAGAAAGGCAGGGGCGTAAGGCAAACAGCTGGCTTTTTCCTACTGCCCTCCCTCCGACTTCCCACCTGCACTTCCCGTGGACCCAACCCCGCCAGTTCCCAGGGAACCTGGGAAATGTACCTCCAAATCCCATCTCTCTCCTTGAGCAGCACAGTGGAATGTCCAAGAAAGGATCCCAAGACAACAGGCTTAGGACTGGTGAACAAACTCTCAAACATGAAGCATACAACAGGCTTTTGTTTGTGTTACTCAAGACTCCTTGGAAACCTCCTGACCTCATCATATTTCACCTTTTAGATGACACACAGCTCTGTCAGTCACCTAATCTCCTCCTCCCCAAGTTCCATTTTTTCCCCTTGTCCTCCTCAAAAAAAACCAAATAAATAAAAATTTTAAAAATTAAAAAAAGTACCAAAAAAACCATTCCCTTTGCCTCTCGTCTGGATGTTCCATGGAGTTCCTAGTCCCAGAGGCACCCCCAATCCTAATTTCAGTGCAGATTCTCTGACACTGAAAACCAACTGGAATACATTTGTTGTATTGTTTCTATGGCAAAAGGAAAACCTCAAGGAAGTGAGCCCTCCCGAGATAAGGAAGAATACCCGTGTCCTGTTGGTCTCATCGCATGAAGAATACATTTTGGAGGGGCTGTGTTTGTGTGTCATTAGTATTCCACCAACCAAATTTAATACTAATTTTTCCTCCAGGGGAATTTCTGATGAGATTGTCCTGCAAAGGGACCATCTCCTAATGGGATTAGCGAATCAAGATTGTCTCTTGATGCATGGTGTTGTTAAGCAGCCGTTTTAGAAGAAAATGCTGCAGGGGGAGGAGATAAACCCAGGGGGTTAAAAAAAAAAAAAAAGCAAACCTGCTGGCATGGCCCAGAGAGCTAGGTTGGCACTACTCCTGCCTCGTAGGCTGGCATCTTCAGGCACCCTGATTTAAAAAAAAAAAAAAAAACTCTAGAAAGAGATCCAGTCTTGATAGTTATGATTCAACAGAAAGGTCATAGGGCATGGTGACCACAGCAAGCGGTCCCCTGGGGAACAGCCAGTGATGGGGACAAACTCAGCACCCTGGAGAGCAACACAAAGCCCCACTGTTGTTGGCAGAGAGGGCACTAGCCTTTTCCGACCAGGACTGTGTCCCCCAGCCAGCTGCATTCCCAAGACACCTGACCCTGGCCCAGACCGTCCCAGCGACCCTTCCATCCAGGGAAGTATTGGCATGAGAAATGGCTCAATTGCCTAAATGCAAAGCAATCTTTTAATAGGAATTGCCAGGGACCAAGCAGCGGCTCTCATCCTCTCAAGTACAGGGAATAAAAACTATAGTAAGGCCGGCGCCGCAGCTCACTAGGCTAATCCTCCGCCTGGGTGCCGCAGGCACCTAGTCCCGATGGGGGCGCCAGATTCTGCCCCGGTTGCTCCTCTTCCAGTCCAGCTCTCTGCTGTGGCCCGGGAGGGCAGTGGAGCCCAAGTGCTTAGGCCCTGCACCCGCATGGGAGACCAGGAGGAAGCACGTGGTTCCTGGCTTCGGATCACCGCGGTGCGCCAGCCACAGCACACCAGCTGCAGTTGCCACTGGGGGATGAACCATCAGAAAAGGAAGACCTTTCTTTCTGTCTCTCTCTGTCACTGTCCACTCTGCCTGTCAAAAAAAAAAATCCAAGTTAAAAAAAACTATAGTAAAGGGGTCAGCACCATGACAAAGAAGGTTAAGCCTCCACCTGCAGTGCCAGCATCCCATAGAGGTGCTGGTTTGACTTCAGGCTGCTCCACTTCTGGTCCAGCTCACTGCTATGGCCTGGGAAGGCAGCAGAGATGGCCCAAGTGCTTAGGTCCCTGCACCCACATGGGAGACCCAGAAGAAGCTCCTAGTTTTGGCCTGCCCGGCCCTGGTCACTGCGGCCATCTAGGGAGTGAACCAGCAAATGGAAGTGCTCTCTCTCTCTCTCTCTCTCTCTCTCTCCTTTTCTCTCTGTATCTCTACCTTTCAAATAAATAATTAGATCATTTAAAAAAAAAAAAAGGGCAACAAAATCTGGCACATTCAGCACTGAGTATAAGGTTCCATGGTCACAGATTCAACCAACAGTGGATTGAAAATATTTGAAATATTTGAATATTTAAAATATTCAAAAAAATCTAGAAAGATCCATAAAGCAAAACTTGAATTTGTGTCGACTACACTGAGTGCTTCAAAATAAAGTGATACACAGACACACCCTGCCCTGCCCTGCCCTGCTGTGCCCTGCCCTGCCCCACCCCATCCTGCCCTGCTGTGCCCTGCCCCGCCCTGCCCTGCCCTGCCTCAGCCTCCCTAAGGCACTCCTCTTTTGAGCAGTGTTTGCCTCGTGTCTCAGTCAGGTGCTACTGCACAGTTAAGCCTGCAATGGTTGTGTCCGTGCTGAACACTGGTAGTCTTTCACTATTCCCTCAGTAATACAGTACAACAACTATTTCCATGGCGTGTGCACTGTACTAGGTGTTGTCAGTCATCTAGCAGTGATTTACAGTACAAGGGACTATGTGCACAGGTTAAACACAAGTACCACACAGCTTATATTAAGGCCTTGAGCACCTGTGCATGTTGGTATCTGCCGGGGCCCTGGAACCAAATCCCCATGGATGCCAACGGGCAGCGGCAGTCAGTCTCCTTTGTCACCATGCATTGACAGTTCTAAAAACTGTCACTGGCACTGTGCTGCTTGCTCCCTACAACACACAAAGAACTGTCATCGGTCTGAATTCCAAACAATGTTTGCAGTCACTCTTTTCAGTTTCAGTTAATATACTTATCAGCTTCAATTAAGATAGTTTTCCTGCTAATCATTTAATAAACATCTTATTCTACATAAAGCCAATTCTGAGAATTTATTTCCATTGTCACTGAACATGCAAGGACTCAGCAATGGGTCATAATTCCAGTTTCCAAATCCCTATTGAACAAGACATGTTTGGGTTTTAACAGCAGCTTCAAAGTACACAAACAGAACTCAAGTCAATTCAATTGTCTTTCAGTGTGACCACTTCGAGTGTTTGTATTTAAATTTTTCAACTGCAAAGATATTTGAAAGCCACTAAAATCTATACTGCACAAATAAAGACTCGGGCAGTGTGGTGATTTCTGGAATTCATGGTGAAATAAGATTTTTATGGATTAGCCTCAAATTTAGCCTTTTAAATTTTCCCCAACTACTTGTGTATCTATTGCTTTGTGTGAAACAAATGCTTTAGAACTAATATTAATAAAAATGTTCTTGGATCAACTATGAGCCAAGATAAAATGATGAAATGAGAGCGATTCCATCTACCGAACTTGAATATATGAATATCGACTTTGTCGAAGTAACAGGCAAATTTGCACAAACCTTGAAAAGAAAAACTGTACTTATGGCTGAAAAAAGAATATATATGTTAAGTATTCTCCCCACTTTAAAAAAAATCCACTAACATAATTTAAAGCTCTGGTCATGACTTTTTCCACTTGGGGAGGTAATATTTTTTAGTTGTTAATAGCTTGATTACACGTAAAAACCAGTAAGTGAAACGTAGACTGCATGCCTCTCTGTCCTATACTATGATTTGTTCAATTTCATAAATGTCACTGAGAATAATTTTGTGCGTAGAGAAGGCAGGTATCAGATACGACAGGTGGCTGATGCAGGTAGATCTTCACCGAAGAGCAAACTGTTCTGTCTGTTCCCCCCATTCATTACGAGCCTTCGACGACCCTGAACTAAAGCGAGGAATTTTTTATTCTCAAGTCACTCTCTGCCAAAGCAAATTCAGTCCTCATGGGTTGAGAGGTCGCTGACCAGGGCTTATGCTGAGGTGCAGTTGGACCCCACCTGCTCCCTTCTGGGTGTGCTTCCTGGTCTCCACGCTAGGTTTCCAGACACACACACACACACACACACACACACGCCACCCTTGCCTGAGGTGTTAGCTTCTTTCCATGTGAGAACTGGAGCAGCTCCATTCTGCCAGCTCTCATCCTAGGCAGACAGGGTTTCCAAGATCTACATGGTCCTGTCTGCTCCATGACTCAGTCAACCAGACACTTCCTAGTAAGATTTCCTGTGGTTGTAACAAGAAGCCCTTTACTGTCTGACTTCTCCCATGGCTTTGTTCCAGATGCCAAATTACAGCCTTGGGCATCAGCAAATGCAGACAGAGCCTCCTGGGTGAACTTACAGCCTGGACTGCCCTGACCATGAGAGACTTGGATGGGGCGGGGGGCAGGGGTAGGTGGATAGGACCTTGAGATTAACTCTCGTTTGCATGGGGGCTTCCTGATATGCCAAGGATTACTTCCATTACAATGAAACTCCTGGTGGAATAAATCTATTCTATTCAGTGAGGTCACTCACCTGGAAGATATCTTACTATCATTTTTTTAAAGATTTATTTTATTTATTTGAAAGGCAGAGTTAGAGAGAAAGAAAAAGAGAGACAGAGAGAGACCTTCAATCCTAATCCACTAGTTCACTCCCCAGATGTCCACAATGGCCAGGGCTGGACCAGACCAAAGCCAGGAGCCAGGAGCTACTTCCAGGTCTCCCACGTGGGTGCAGGCAGGGACCCAAGCCCTACTTGAGCCATCTTCCGTTGATTTCCTAGGTGCATTAGCAGGGAGCTGCATCCAAAGTAGAGCAGCCAGGAATTGAACCAGTGCCCATATGAGATGCCTGTGCTGCAAGCAGTGGCTTAACCCAATACACCACAACACCAGCCCCAAGTATCATTCTATCAAACTCCTTCAATTGCTGGGAAAACACTGTGTGAAACTGCTTTCTTTAGTATCCAAGAGAGCAGGGTGGGAATCCCAGCTCTTCCACTGTAAGGCAAATTCCCTAACTCTCTGAGCCTTGGTGTCTCACCTGTCAAAACACGATGCCCCATTCACTCCAGAAAAGGGTACCAAGGCATGGGTATTGTGGCACAGTGGTTAAGGGTACCTGAATTGGAGTGCTTGGATGGAGTCCCGGTTCTGTTTCCTATCCAGCTGCCTGCAAATGGGAGCAGATGAAAATCTATTTAGATTATTAATACTTACTTGGATCCCTACCATCCATGTGGGAGACCCTGATGGAATTCCACGCCCCTTGATTCAGTTTGGCCCAGCCTCAGGTTGTTGTAAGCATTTAAGGTATACATCAGAAGATGGAAGCACTCTTCCTCTTCTCTCTGTCTCTCTCTGTCTCTCTGTCTCTCTCCCTCTCCCTCTCCCTCACTCTCTGTTGCTTCACTTTTCAAACAAAAATAACTAACTAATTTTAAAAAAAAAAAGAGGTTCCAGGATTATGCAAATAAACATTCTAAGTCCTCACCCCAGCACCTTCAGTGTTCCACAACCGAGGGATATGTACTGCTGTTATTTGAACAAAAATTGCTGGCAAAAGAAGATAAATGGACTGCATAGACTAAAGATTACTCATGCGACAAAGGATGTCAAATAAATGTCATTTAACTAAAAGAAAACGCAGTGGCTATTGGCATGGCAAATATCAAATTACAGCAGTCACAATGCAGAGAAAAATCTCCATGCCTATCGTGCCCTGTGAGTATTGATGGATGAGATCACCATGGGAAACATGGTGTTTTCATATAGTCAGGGGTGTCCGAGGAAAGGAGGAGGAGATGAGGGAGGAGGGGGAGGAGGAGGAGGGGAGGGGAAGGGGGGAAGAGAAATTCCTTGCACTAGTCCCACAGAGGATCTCATAGAACTTCCAAGAGGATAGGGAGAGAGCCAAGTTGGAATGCAGCCAACAACAGAGTGGTAGAAGGAAGGCCTTTGGGGCATCTCGAAGAACCCTCGGTTCCTTCTCCTCTTGGGAGGTGCTCCAGAGGAAAGCCAACGCATGGCCACACGGATCCCAGGCTGTCTAAATTTAGAGGACAGTCAACTGTGCCCGCCAAATACCAACTGAGATATCTCAGAGTAGAAGAATGGAGGCATTTTCATTGTCTCCTTGTTTGTTTTTAATCTTTCAAGAACTGGGAATGTCAGCATAGTCTGTTTCATGTTGCCATAACAAAATCCTAGAGACTGGGTAACATAACATCTGAGGGTGACTGGTCTCATGATCCTGCTGACTTGAGGCTCCTAGACATTCTAGCACCCCACCTCAAGTGAGGGTTCCCCTGACAGCATCACCACCTGGCAGAGAAGTGGAAGAGAACGACCACATGCAGAAGGGCCAAGCGTAGGCAGTGACCTCTCCTTATCACAACTTGTTCTCTCCAGAACTCAACTAGTCTCACGAGACCTCACCCACTCCCTCAGAACAGGCTTAATCCATTCAGGAGACTGGAGCTCCAGGATCTAATTCCCTTCCCCTCGGCCTTACCTATTGGAGAAGTCCCGCCATCCCCACACTGCTACACTGCTTCTGGACTTTGAGTGTTTAGGGAATGAGCCACGTCCAAACCATAGCAAATGTATTATCGTATCACGGTGAGGAATTATTTTGGGTTTTTGAGAGATAGAGATAGAGATAGAGATAGAGATAGAGATAGAGATAGAGATAGAGATAGAGATAGAGATAGAGATAGAGATAGAGATAGAGATAGAGATAGAGACAGACAGTGCCCATCTGATGGTTCACTCTCCAAATGCCCACGGCAGCTGGGGCGAGCCTGGCTTGCAGCCAGGAGCCTAAAATTCAATCCAGGGCTCCCTTGTGGGTAGCAGAGACCAGCTACTTCAGCTGCCACCACCGCTGCCCATGGTCCACATTGGCAGGAAGTCTGAATCAGTAGTCAGAGCCAGGAATTGAACTTAGACACTTCAGTGAAGGATGCAGGCCTGCCAACCAATGTCTTAACTCCTAGGCTGAATATCTACCCCAAACGTGTTACTTTGTGAATCAAATCAGAACTTCAATGTTCAGCCAATAAGTAAAATATAGCAATCACACATGACCTCAGTGGTCCTCCTAGATTATACATGGTGTGCCTATTTTTATTCTCTAGTGGAAACAAACAAAACCGTTTCATAGATTCTGGAATTGATAGAAGAAAACACTCTGGTTCTGTAATCAATTCATTTGAAAATAATTAACTTTTATAGAAGACTAAAAATTTTTAAATAAACATATGGCAAAGGAAACACTTTATGCCACTGAAAAGAAATGCTAAATTCCAGTTAAAATGATAAACCTTTAATAAAATGTCATTATAAAAACAGGTCTAAAATCCTACTTGAGGAAGCTTTAAATGGTGTTTTGGAGTTCAGGGCACAATCTTTCTTCAGACCTTGGCTCTAGACTCTCTAGGCCCCTGGCTTACTGTAAACCAGAACTATGAAAAGATAGAAATATTACACACTTATGAACCCCTACGTGTAAATCATTGCTGTTCAATTTCTAAAATGATCTCTGAGATGATACAATATAAGGACCCTGAACATACTGGACAAGCAAGAAGAAGGGAAAATACACACTACATGAAAATGGTCTTTAAAAAAAAAGAAAGAAAGTGGTCTTTAAGATTTTAAGTTGATGGGGCCAGTGCTGTGGCATAGTGGGCTGTTTCCACCTGCAGTGCCAGCATCTCTTATGGTCACTGGTTCCTGTGCCGGCTGTTCCTCTTCCAATTCTCTGCTATGGCCTAGGAAAGCTATGGTCCAAGTGTTTGGACCCCTGCACTCATCTGGGAGACCCAGAAGAAGCTCCTGGCTCCTGGCTTCAGATCTTCCCAGCTCTGGTCACTGTGGCCATTTGGGGAGTGAATTAGTGGATGGAAGACCTCTCCCTCTGTCTCTCCCTCTCTCTGTCTGTAACTTTGCCTCTTAAATAAATATGCTGAAATTTGGGCCCCTTCTAATAGAAATTGGGCCCAGTTTGGGGGGAAAAGGGAAAGGGAACCATTTTAAGGAGGAGTGTTGATCCTACCAAAAAACATGTTTTTAAGATGTGGCCCATTCATGGGGTACTTACCAATAAAAGACCCCTGGATTCTAGCTGAACCTACTGGATCAATATCTTGGAGTGGAGCCCCCAAATCTGCATTTTATCTAGCTTTCCAGGCAGGTCGCAGACACACTTTAGTTTGAAAACTTCCAATCAGGACATTAAGAGTGAGATACAATCATTAATTACTCAATGACAGAGATCCACTCTGAGAAATGTGTCATTTGCCATTTCGTCATGGTGTAAATGGCCTATGGTACAAACAGGTGAATCGTCGGCACTGATGTATGGAGATTGATGTTTGGTATACATTTACTTTTATTTGTATTTTATTTGAAAGACAAAGAGACCAAGACAGGTGGAGAGAGATCTTCCATTCGCTGGTTCACTCTCTAAATGCCTACACAGCCAGAGCTGGGCCATTCCAAAGCCAGCAGCTATAGATCCATCCGGGTCTCCCAAGCAAGTGGCAAAGGTTCAAGTACTTGGAGCATCTTCTGCTGCCTCCCAAGGTGTGCATTAGCAGGAAGTGGGATCAGAAGTGGAGGAGCCGAGACTGAAACTAGGCACTCTGATAGAGAATGTAGATCTCCCAAGTTGCAACTTAATTGCTACACCAAATGCCCGGCCCTCCAATACACATTTTATGGGGAATACAAGCTAAAATAATAAAAATAAGCATGGTATAGTGAAAACATAAACAATAACAGTCATCCATGATCATCATCAAATAGTATTACTGTACATAATTGTGCTGCGACAGGCAGCACAGTAGGTTTGTTTACACAGTATCACCACACATGGGTGAATAAGGCATTCTGCGATGACTCTATGACAGCTATGATGCCACTAGACAATGCAAATTGTTCAGCTCCATTGTAATCTTATGGGATCACAGTTGCATATGTCGTCCATGTTGACCAAAACATCATTGCACAGCACATGACCGTATTTTAGCAGTGCACTGAAGATCTATAAACAGCCCTTCGGTATCTTACGTCAAGTACCGCACTTACTATCTCCCTGGGGTTATTTTGTGATTGGCCTTTTGCTAATGAACCCAAGTCCAGTATGAGTTGGCAGTAAGTGACCATTCCTAAAACCCAGAAGATTCCTAAGAGCTGCCCATGCATCCTAAGAATCCACAACAATCCGCCTGGCCTGCTGCAGCTGCTGGCCAAGAGTCCCACAGCCCTCTCTGGGTGTCTTCCTCAACTCAAGGATCTTTTGTGAAGAGGAATTAAAAGTCCCCGGCATCCAGAGCGAAATTAATTAGCACCCACCAAATGAACAACTGTTTCATTCCCTGCATGAATTTATATTTTGCTGTTGTCACAGCCTGAAAAACATGGAGAAAATCCTCTGTAAAAATTAGTTATGCTCTATGGTTTCTGGTGGCGCTGCAGAGCCTCCCCCTTGGGCTGTTATTTGCAGTATTTACATTTTTTTTCTTTTACTGAATTATCAAGTGAAAATCCAATTGTTCCTAATGGTGCTCGCTCTGTGTGCTTCCCATTCTTCTATATGAGAAAGGGTTTATTATCCATTTGTAGTAATTAAGACACTGATGTTATATAGATCCATAAAAATCCTTCATTAAGCCAGTAAAGAGCTTTTCATCAAAACCACGATAGCTAAATATTTATTTAAAAATAAAAGCCAAATTAAAAGGAAGAGCACCCCCACCGAAAGAAAAAAATGCTATGAGACTGATTTGGAGTTAGTGGCGGATGCCCCAGGTAGCTCCAAAGCAGTCAGGAGAGTGTCTTACAGAGCAGGGGGCGCCCTAGCAGGCACTCCGTCATGGCTGGCCATAAAGAAATGGAGTAATTAAGCATAAGGAAATAATTCAGCAAGACGCTAACAGTTTAATAACATTTAAGTATTTGCATTTAAGCATTATTGTTTTTAAACGATTTCATAATTGTTTCAGATCTGCAAAAGGTGCTAAGACGTGAACAAAATAAAGAGCAACTCAAGATTTTCTGACTGAAAGGATCAGTAGGACGCAGGCACGAGGTTGGCTTTGTCCTCGTAAAATTCAGAGTCCAACCCTTGGCAAAACTCCACAGTGTGCAGCAGCTCACATGCCTCTC